ACTGGCTTCTTCACCCGATCGATTCAGATAAGTTCAAACTTGACGTTGTAAGCTTACTGAAATAACAAATTTACGTCATTTCTACTTGTAAACCTATCTTTATTTCATTTACTGAATTAGCAGCTATTCACTACCCTTTAGTTCGTAGTTTGAAATTTTTAGTTTTAGCATAGTTTTTCCTAGTAGTACAAAATGGCTCAACTAGTGCCGTGTAGAGCCTTGATCGAAGGAGTTGTCGCTTGTTTGAAAGAGTTGTCGCTTGTTTGATATGTTTTACATTAAATGCCAGTGACTTTCAATTATCTTAATTGATTACTGAAGGTTTCCCGAAGATTTTCATCCAGAAATATATTTTTGCATTTGTGGACAGGAGAGTGGGCAGTATCTTTTTTAAATGAGTCGAAAGTGTGTCTTCATGACTTCAGCCATTGTGCATATGGCGGCCTGCTTMAAACAGTCAAAACGTTGAAAAATGACGAAAAACTATCCATGTTCAGCGAGCCGTAATTTTTCAAAGCTTCTCATTCATTGATTCATTGATTCATTCATTGGAGAGATTTTGAGTTTTTTCCCCAATAAAAAGCAGGAAAACAAACGGAAGACGGCAGTATTTTTCATCTTCAGTTGGTTGTGAATATATCTTGAAGTTGAAAGGAAGTTTGAAGTACGACAGTCTTCTTCTCAACTCATGTTGAGTTCTTGAGGTCTTCTTTTGATGCCTTTTTTGCTTTGCATTTACATGTTTTGCAAAAGAAAGCCTCACTTGTGTTAACTTGTATTTCAGGAAACTTTAAACTATACCTAAATTCATTCAAAGTAAACGAAAACTTCTCTTTTTGAGCAACTCAAACACTACATGACTTGTGGCACGTACAGCGAGCCCTCCCGATGCAGTTCTCGTTTGACATGCGCTGTCAACTTTATTTTTTTGTTGCTTCGCCTTTTTTTAGTCTCAATGCCTTGGCATATAATAAATATCTTATTAACCTCGTTTGCTCGGTCCGTACAGTAAGTTATGGATCCTCGTTTTTTCCACTTTGTTATGGCCGTGGAACTCGGTCCATAACTTACGGTACGGACCTCACACTCGGTTAATAAGAGCTATTTATTGTATTTGACAATCCATATTACCACGATGAACAGTAACGAAATACAGTAATAAAATTTCATTCACTCATAGTTTATTATTTCATGTAGAGTAGGAGGAGGAGAGGAGGAGAAGGAAGAGGAGGAGGAAGAGGTGGAGGAAGAGGAGGAGGAGGAGAAGGAGAGGAAGGAGGAGGAAGAGAGGAGGAGGAAAAGGAGGAGGAGGAGGAGGAGAGGATGAGAAGAGGAGGAGGGGAAAGACAAGAGGAGGAAGACAAGAGGAGGAGGAGTTGAAGAGGAGGAGGAGAGGAGAAGGTAATTTTACATCGACCTCTCATCGACCTCTCATAGACCTCACATCGACCCTCAATCATAGAAAAAAAATAAGCAAATATAAGATTATTATAAAATCAGTTATTAATTTTGGTATTTCAAATGGTCTGGGCCGTGGAAATAAGAATTGGTCATGGGCTTCCTGTGATTTTCAATAACTTAATCGGATGGGCTGCCTGTGAAAACAAGAATCGGCCATGGGCTTCCTGTGTTTTTCAATAACTAAATCGGATATGGGCTTCCTGTAGATTTGTGCATTATAAAATTGTTTTGATGCCGTGTCTTATTTATCACGTGACAAAAAATTATTGAATGATTGAAGGAAAAGAGATATGACAGCATTAATAAGCTAGATTGCCAGGGAATTTTTAGAATCATTGTACTACGGTCCAGTATGAAATAGAATGATCGCTGTTTATATATAATAAAGAACAAGATAACAGAACTAATCATTATCAGCTGATTTTTGCATAATTAAGAAGGACTTAGTAGGTTTTATTGTTAATCGTTTATGAGTCATKAAATGCATTGTGTTGGATACAATAGTCATCAAATACTCGAAGTATTTCTTGAGTTTGATGAGGGATATCTTGAGATATCCCTCAAGAGTTTGGAAGATTTACGCTTGGTTGATTGCTGAACTTTGGTGTTTGTTTTTAAAAGAATTATGGAAGGATGTTATCAAGAATTTGCTCAACACATTGTGTATGTTTCAAAAAAACATTTCATTTCATTAGTCCTTTGAATTCATTGACGGTAGCGTTATAGCCTCGAGATCCTAACTGGAATAACGTAGCCACTGCGTTTCTCAAAGTAAATTTTTTAAGGTCTTGCCTGCTTGTTTGCTTGGTTGAGTTTTAGAGTTAAAAATTCAAAATCCCCGCGCTTTATAAATTAGATTGGTAAAAAAAAGACTTGTCCAAACATGCCTAACAATACACTGCTCGTCGTTTTATGGTAATAATTTAATAAACAATAGTCTGCCCATCATTTTATGGTAACGATTTAATAAACAATGGATGTGCCCATCACTGGCCCACCATTCCCGAAACTTGAAGACTTGTTCATACCGGTCAACGATAGTCTTATGACGTCAATTGGTCGTCATGGTAACCCGAAACAATACTCTCCCCGTCATTTTATGCTAATATTTGATAAATAATTAATGTGCCYACCACTAGCCCAYCACTAGCCCACCCAAAACTCGGATCGTGCCATGCATACACTACTACTCTCACGCAAAGRAAACAATGTAGTGCACTTCGATTCGATTTCAGTGCATGATTTTTTATATTATCTTCATCCTGAATGTTAAAAAAATGAAGATTTTCCCCCCGAATTTATTGTTACCTTTCAGATTCATTCAAATTGGGCTCCCTGTGACTTGCGTATCGGGAGCTCCGCTTTTAGGCAGTGCCTAAATATATATATTAACCATCTGATTGTAAAAACTAGACTATGTTCCAGTAAGACACGTAATATCAAACAACGAAACAACAAATAATCAAACAATCAAGGCCGGCTACAAGCCAACCCCACCAACAAAAATAATCTAACGGTTAAAATCGCACCTGCCCAGTTAGTATTTCATAAAACAATGCACCAACACTCCACCAGTCAGCAGCAGGCGTGACTCCTTCAAGTCTAAACAATTCTATGTTCAAAAGAAAACAAATGATTAAAGATGGGTTTTAGATAGTACTGATATCTATATTAATAGTAAATAGTTAGAACCCAGGTGTTGAAGTTCGTTGTAATATGTGATCGTCCGGGTGAGTCCAGTGAAGTATAAATACCATCGACTGTCTATCGTTTTCTTACTGGACTCTGAAGATACTGTGGCGGGTTTAGGGGGGTTTCATTGGCTGGTACCTTGGATTTTTTACATTTTTTTGAATAAATAAATAAAAGTATGGTAGGTCCGCTTTTTGAAAATTAGAACCTTCGCCCACAATAATCGGGCCTGGACTGGTGGGTAGGTTATCCTTATTAGGAGCGCCCCTAGGCCAGTAATGTGCCTCATGGGAAAATGATGATGCAAGAGAACGTTATTGTTGTGCCGAGATTTGCAAAAATGACCCCCCTCCCCCCTCTTAAAGTCCTGGATCCGCCACTGAGATATCTATATCATAATACGCTAAACGGTCCCCCGTTTGTATGGAAAAATTCTCTCGTGCCCTTCACTTTTTATAATGTTCTAGATTTTAAGAACAGAGGTTAGAGTGTTTCCTTTTGGATATCTCTGGCTTATTGGTTCGCCCTTCGCAAAACTAGAAATCAAAGATTGCTTAAAAAGCCACGCTCGGCCAGATCAGCCCGCCGTCATAATTTTGTTTACTGGACGGATTCATTTGTGAAAACTAACTGAGCGTGTGATCGTGACGTGACACTAGTCGCGCATTTAAAGATGCACTCTTTATTTGTTGTAAAATTGTTAGATTTATAATTATTTTTCAACATTGAAAATTGGATTTTTCAAGCTGTGTTAACATGATGCATGCATGGATGCATGGTATATAGGATTCATTTGTGAACACTACCTGAATAGAACATAATCGAAACAAACGTCTCTTTACGGCTGTAGATTTCAAGTTTAAAGGGGCAATTGGATAAAACGAAAACGTCTAAACCGGCCTTATGAGGGTTTAGTTCATTTTCTCTTGGTTCGACCCTATTCAATAGGTTCGAGTGCAGCAAAAGTACGACAAGCCAAGTCGAACATAACGACTCTGGAGCGACTTTGCGGCAAACGCCGTTTTAAACACGTGTCGAAATGAATTCATAAATTATGTAAAATGGTTAATGAATCAGGCAAATCGTAGGAATTTTACCAAAGTCGTGAAAACAACTATTCCCCCACCTTCCAAACACTCATTCCTTCACTGTTAAGGTGGCATAAGTATATATGAAATTGCAATCACAAATTATCATAGTCGGAAGGGTTTTGGAAAGCAATCAGGCTTCGAATGTAAAGCGTGAGGTGTTGGAATGCACGACTTTGGAAATATTCTGGACAATAGAAAGGCGTAACGATACAAACGAAGTGCGAGTGAAGAAAGCGGTTGCATATTTAGAATTAGGATACAAATGTTTATGGAATTGAGAATATTATTTGACGGTTTTAAATTATTTCAATGAACTTGAAACTTTAGGGTATATAAATGCGTTATCTAAAGTAACTGACTTGGAAGTTAAAAAAAAATTCATCATCGGATTATTGAGTTTGACTGTTTTTAGTAAAGAAAAGTGAAATTTTTGACAAGATATCAAAAGGCACAACTTTACTAACTAGGCTTGAAATCATATTTCTCGAAA